GAGAGAGTAATTGTTTGTCATTCTATGTTAAATGATCACTCTAACTGATTGATAAACAGTAGTAGTACATATTTATATGATTTACGATGAACTCTAATTACGGAGTGTAATAATGCAACTCCAATCAAACGTTATTACAATTTTGTCAAAACAAATCAAAAAATAAAAATCAAACATTATACAGTAGCAGTACGTTGCTAGAAAAGATTTGACAGGAGACAAAGAAGTTACGTGACGTGAGGTGAGGTGTGTAAAATTGACCTGGCTCACAAAAAGTAGTATTTTGGCAGTATTCGAGGGGGGGGGGGATTTGAGACTCAGTCCAGTAGTTCCAACCGTGGCAGATTTCTATGCACTGTCTGATACCGACACTCGGTGGTCCCGTCCCAACACAACTCACCAGACACCGACACGTCCCCACCATTTTTGAAGCCAACTGGAAATTAAACAGTGTCTCCATCCCCGATTGAGATATCTTCTTCTATAGCTTAGGAGTTCGGTCTCTATGGCTAAATTAGGAGTTTTTTTTTTTTTTTTTGTCAAAGGCGAGCTAACATGTAGGATATTAACAAAGGACTGATACAATCCGCTTTAAACGCTTTTTTTAATCACAAAACGATATTGTTTTCCCAACTTTGTATACATTTGTTAAAAAGAGCTAATTTAACAACATTGTAACATGATGAATTCCAGTTTTTCTGAATATACAAAATCCTACAATCAGCACAAAAATTTTTCAACAAAAAAATATTTTTGACTATGGTTAAAACTTAGCTCCAAATTTGACTATGGCTAAATTAGGAGCTAGTTAGCCGTTTATATTCCACCAAAAAAAAAAAAAATTCTTTTGTCCCAAAAATAAAATAAAATCTTGCGTTTTGCGTGTTTATAAACACACAGAAAATCAAATCAAATTTCATTCATTATGAAACTCTAACATTTTTCTGTTTTCTGCTTATTCAAATATTAGTAGGGTTTGCAGATGAATTTCACTTGATTTTTCCCCAATAAAAAATGTCCTCTCACTCATACTACTATAAGTTAAGCGAGCGCTAAAACAATGTGTTTTTAAGGCTCCAACAGTTTCGTCTGCGGCATTTATTTAAACTAACTGTTAATAAAGTCACAATAACCATCCAGATTTTTTTAAAGAAAAATGTTTACAATTTTGTGTGCTGTAAATTTGGGACAAAATAAAAACCTTCTCCGACCAATCTAAAAAGCTTCACGGATAATGGTCCTTAATATAATTGAGCAAAAAAATTTCTTATCATTTATCATCCCGCCGTCATGGTGATGTCATCTCAAAAAGGTGTTATTATAGCTCCCATTTAATATCAACATGCAACGTGTCCAGTAGGCAATTACAGGACCAAATTGGCCAATTTGTGCTTTCGAAGGAGAATATCCGAAGACCCCAAGAGTGAAATCAATTTTCTTTTTTCAGAAAAAAAAAACTTATGTTTTTAAACCAAAAATGTTATTTTCTGTCTGAAGTTGAGAAAAGTGCATCTTTGTCTGTTGCGGGTAATCAATCATCCTTACTTTATTTTTTTATTTCACTCTATTTTACAAAATGCTCAATATCCGCTCTGGATAATAAATTTTAGTAATTGCCAACCAAAGAAAGCAAGATGATGAACTCTAATAAATTTCTTCTTGTTTTCGAAAAACCTAAACTAAAATTTCTTCATTTAAAATTTAATAATTCATTTAGGTTAATTATAAAATTGGTAAATTAATCGATGCGGAGTGTAGAAGTACATTTTCATTCTTTTAGACCAGGGAAAAAAAAACTACACTTGACTTTCATTTATCTTGAAAAAAAAAACAATTTTTTTTTAAATAATAGAAAACATAAGAATAAAAATGATTTGACAATGAAATGAAAGCATATAAATGTACGTGGACCAATGACGATCATGGCCTTGTCTCCTCCCTCTATTTCTGATGAAATTTCCTCCTTTTTTTTTCATCAATTTATAAATATGAGTAGTATTTTATTTTTGGAAACCAAAATTATTTCATTTATTTGAGGATGACCAATGGCCTTCTGGGCAAGACACGTGGAAGCCTTTTATTGGAACACTGTTGATTAGACAGGGATGGGAAAAGAAAATAATGGAGAAAAGGGGGGATGGGCGCTAAGCATCCCCGAACCAATTCATTCGCAATCATTCTAAGGCGGATAACACACATAGTATTGACTTTTGAAACAGTCGAATCATTTTGATTGGTTTCTATTCTGGGGTCCTCCTGATACAATTGGGTACCTTTCGGGCAGCATTTCCATTTCCGGTTTGTAATTTATTTACTCTTAAAAAGAGACCTATTTGTAAAACAAAAATCATCGCTGAAAAAAAAAAGAGAGTTATAGAATGGCAGAAGAAGTAGTTACATTTTGTTGTAATAAAAATGTGAGCAACTATATATACTGAACTACATACATATATATATATATATGCATGTATGAAAAAAAAAAGGAAAATAAGGCAAACACTTATAGTTGAAATTTCAATTGGCTACATATACAATTACCATTGTACTTGGTAAATAAATAGAAAGGGAAAATTGATCACACCAAATGTCATTTTGTTGATTCAATTTTCTTCTATCTAAGTTAATTATTGTGATAATTCACCAAGAATTTTCACTGTGAAACAATCAATTAGTTTGCTATGATCTTCTATTTCAAACATCATCGATAAAATGCAAAACCCTTGAATACAGCATGAAGATCATAATTATTGAGTGTTAAAATACTAATCCTGACGCTACTTTTGTATGGACACGTGACTCTGGAATATTAACCGATTTTACTTTCTTCAATTAGTTAGCTACTCATCTGTTTGAATCCATGTCTAAGATCAAACTTGTTCCACGAGTAACACACAATATCTCTGCTGAACTCTTCAAAGGTTTGAATCGTTTTATTCGAAGAGATAGTTGATTGAAATTGAAAGAACAAAGAATATGCGCCAGAAAGATGTGATGAAACTACGATTTGTAGTTGGGCCATTGTGTAATTAACGGCACTTGTCACATTTGCCGACTTAGAATCGGCCTGAAAAGAAGAAATTTGGAGCCTTATCGGCGGAGAACTTTCACACTGTTGTTATCAATCAGACCTGTCTTACTCCATAAGGAATATTTTGATCAAAAGGCCTTATTTGTTTGCACCTTTTGCAGTTTGCACCATATGGTCGGTTTGACAATTTCAACTCTAAGTTTGACTTTTTGGCCCAATCAAGCTCATCGATCGTCAATTGTCATACATACAAATTTTGCATGTCAATGATTTAAATTAGAGTGAAATTGCATTTTTCTTTCTTCGTATCTGCAAGTTATTAACCATTTATAATAATAATTAACTGTACTCATTAAATTATATGCATCTTGATAAACAAGATAACGTATTTAAACATAATTTTTTTTATCCGTGGTTTTTTTTTTTAATTCCTAAACTTATTACTGCAATTCGCTAAAATCTCTGATCACTCCTATATCAACTCCCAATGGAATTTTGTTGTAGCATTGGTTCAAATTTTGAAAAAATTTCGTCCTAATTACTTTTTGTCGAGTTCTTGTGGAATAACAAAACCGTAAAACATAATGATGAAAACAAAATTAAAAGAAAATAAGCCTTTTATGTAGCATAAACTAGGACATATTCTTGCCATAAACTTCGAAGTGTACGATCCACAACTACAATATAAATTTCCAGCTGAAACTTTATTAAAAATAAGGTTGCAATTTGGACTACCTCGCAATAAATTGAGAGTTACGGGGTTAATAGCTACAATTATAAGGTTTCGAGTCTAGTTTGTTATTTGACTGAAGTTTTGAAGGTGATATTATTTTTCCCAATCAGAGACTCAAAATAATATAAGGTGTTCAATGATTGAGAGAATTTTGATATGCATTTCGCACTAATGAAGGCTTTTAATTAAATGGACTTTGAATGTGTAGTTAGGAAGTAGTTAAGACATGAACATCATGGTTTCCACTTGGTTTCTAGTCTAATTCCAAGTTCGTAAACTGGTGTTACCTTGAATTGGGGCAACTTTGACCTCTTCTGGACACCCGGACATCCGTCATATGCTCAAATCCAACTTTTAGGTTGAAGGGCTAATCCAGATAGTCAACCTTCCAGCCGGAAAACCCAAAAAAAAAAAAAAAAGAAAAAAGAGTCGGTTATGTTAAGCTCTAAGCTCAATAGGAGATTTTGTTTGAAATTCGGTATCAAACATGTGTGACATGAATATGTTGGTCGTGTATCTATAACTTATTAAATTTACTTATAAAAATATTGCAAAACGCATTTACAGGAATATGAATATCACAAAATGGATGCGCACTATATTTTGCAGCCTGCTAGGGCATGGGCACTATATTTTTGCGATAAATGTTATACATCCTGCAAAAATAATCATACACTAATAACGTAAAATCTCGCTTGCAAATTGTTGAAAGATGGCAAAGTTTGAGAGAGTAGAGTTACAAGGTAATAATCAAAATGTTTCAAAAAAAAAAAAAAAGGGCATTATCAAAACAAAATGAAGGACCAATTTTTCCAATGACTTCCTCTTATCTAATTTTTTTTTTTTTTTGTCCAAGTTTCATTTCTAAAACTACTTCATAATCAAACAAATGTAGCTATCATCTTGAGAGCATAATGCATATATGAAAATCAATATAAACTATTTTTTTGGACAGAAATAGTACTCTTCTTAGTTAAGGGCTCAAGGCATTTTTTTTGGCCACCTTATTACGATGTCAACAAACCAATAAAAAGAACTCAAAAAGTTTCCACCACCGGGATCAAACCGTGATTAAAACATGATATTATCAGGGTATCATACCTAGAATTGTAATGGTTTAATTATTTTCAGATTTTAGCCTTCTTTTCGACCCAAAAAACAAAAAGGCCCTATTCTTACAAAGTAAAAACAGCAAAATCCATGTAACCACGGACCAAATGTCTTCACTGCAATGTCTGTAAAAGATTGGGCCTCTCTTTTTCAAATGATTTTGTGTTATCGAATTTTTGAGCTTTAACTTAGCCGAAGCCCAGTTAAGAGCAATTCAAAAACTCGGTACACTTTCGAAGGCTTTTCTAGTCATTTCACGAGAGAAAGAATCGGCAAAGACAAAACAGCATCGTTCGACGCTCGTCGTTTGGCCTTTCGCAGCCAAAGCCCACCGCCGCATCTTACTTCCGACGGCTTCCTTTGGTCATGATTTCTTCAACCTTACGAAATCATAATCACTAATTGAGAAGAAAAAATTACCAGAAAAATTAAACTATTATTCTCACGGATAACGCCTAAGATCTTCCACACCGGTGACTTTTACACAGCTGCAGTGAAGTTAGGCGCCGGACTACGGCGGAGGGCGGCAAGGTTCGTCGCTGAGGTTATTAATATTTGAAATTTCATTTTATTTGATTCGTTTGTTTTTACGAATTCGAACTCTTTTAGCTTGTTTTATTCGAAAGAACAAAAGATAAGAAACTAAAGGAAGTAACAAAAATTTGGGTAAATAATATCTATTACAGCCAGACAAGAGGGAGGAAACATCATAAATATGAAAAGGCTGTGTAATTTCTTCTGCAAAGAGTGAAGTAAAGGAAGAGCTAGTTGAGGGCAAAGATGAGGTTGCGTTGTTGTGCTCTTCTGTTGACAATTTTTGTGGTCTTAGTTGTTCTCAGCTCTGCCTTAGATGATTCCGAGGTAAATCGAAATCAAGTAGTAGTTTCTATGTTTTCTTTGGTTGCAGAAGGGTTATTTTTCTCAAATCGTATTATGTTATTGGTTTTAGGTACACGGAGATTTGAATACTGGCGAAAATGGGAAGGTTTTGGATGCAGCAAATGACACGAATAGAGGGAATGACAAGAAAACAGTGATCCCCGAAGAAAAGAAAGGAAATAATCAAGCTGGTGATGGATCAAAAAAGGGGGCTGAGGGAAGTAATGATAGTTTGGCTGGTAATGAAAATGGGAAAATGAACACAAATGGTCCGGGGAATGACTCAGGGGCTAAGGAGAAAGTTGATTCACAGGGTGCTGGTAAACAGTCAGGGTCAAAAGGAACAGGTTTTGAGGATGAGAAGGTGGATGCTAAGGGTGGCGATCAGAAGAGTAAAGATAATGGCTCTAAAGGAACTGGGAATGCTAAAACGGGTGATTCTGGTTCTGAGCTGAAGAAACCAGATGGAGAGGAATCTGCACAGAAGGGAGCTAATGACAACGGGGAAAAGGATGGCAAGATTAAAGACAAGGCTAGTGGAGGTTCAAGTTCGGAATCTAAAGATGGCACTCTGGTTCAAGGGAGGAAGGAAAGTGGTGAAGCTTGTGATTCTTTGTCAAATAGCTGCTCTATAGATGAGAAGTCCATTGTTGCCTGCTTGAGAGTACCTGGAAATGGTATGTTGTCCTTTCAATTTGTATGTTAAAACCTATCAGGTTGTTTAGGGCTCTATGAGGACTTGAATTTAAACTATTTCAATATCGTATCGTTATATCAATCCTCATCTTGTTGCTTGCCAGTTCCCATAAAGAACCAAATACTTCCTTCAAATGGTGGTTCTCTGTAGTCAATTAGGATTGTTTCTTTCGTTTGTTAATGTGTTGACTGCTTTTAGCTTGGGGATTTTGTTGGCTTGACCGTAAAGAATGTCATTGTTTCAAATTTCTTCTGTAGATGGAACAATGATCATATAAATCTTATCGTATCATTATTTTTCTCTTGCTTAAGCTTAGGAAAGGTGGATGACTCTTAAGTTCTTCGAAACTGCTGGAAAAAGGGAAGGTGTAACTACCTGTTTGCATGTATTGAATGTTTCAACTCAGATTATACCATAATATGCAAATGGCATTTACGGGTGGCAATGGGCTTTTTTTGCAATTCATCATATGCAAATTTTGTTAGCACAAGACCTTTCTTTCTGTTATTTTTGCTGCATGCATGACATGATAACCTGGCAAGATGTTCTAATCTCGTTTTTTTTTGTGCTGATACCCAGAATCTCCAGATCTTTCTCTCCTGATTCAAAACAAAGGGAAAAGACCTGTCACTGTAACAATCTCTGCACCTGACTTTGTTAAGCTGCAGCAGAAGCAGATTCAAGTGAAAGAGAATGACAATGAGAAGGTAGAGTGGACTTATTCCTAAAACTTTTACAAATATGAAAAAGTTGCCAGAAAGAATGGTTGTGGATAGGTATTACTTCTCATCATGCCATGTTAATATAGTTTGTTACTTGGGTTTCTTGCTATATCCGTATGATAATGGGATGTTCACAAATGTACCATGAAATCCAACCTGGTTTCGGTCTGAAATTTATTTTAAATGATTGTTGTGGAATCATTTATGAGAAATTTGCATTGGTGGGGACGAGTAAGTCTTGTGTGGTTTAAATTATATATGTATTATTACATTTTCTATGAACCCTATTCAATATGATTATGAAGTTTAAGGGATTTTTCATATACAATGAAGATGCTACACTATTTCTTGTCCAGAATACCACCATAGGGAACTTCAGATTTGGAGAATGCTGATTGTTTCTTGTTATTGTTTTGTTATCTTGATGGGGGAAAAAAAAAAAAAACAATGTCTTCCCGTACACTCAGTCTCTTGATATTGGTTGGTTATCTGTAGTTTATGTGTACTTTTTGATGCTCACTGTACACAATCACCATTCTTTGTCAGATAGTGTTACCGATTATTGCATTAGTTGACATGAAGTTAAATTGCTTTCTAAAATGTTTTCTCTGTGTTTGTAAAGTATCAAAAACTATGTACTGGTGAATCTGATGAGCTTTGGCTTTCATAGGTCATGGTTACAGTGGGAAACGGGGAAAGCGACGATAGTAAGATTGTACTAAAAGCTGGAAATGGCAACTGCATGCTCGATTTCAAGGGGATGATAGCACAGAGTTCTTTGAAAAGAGATCCTGGCTTTATCACCCAGCTCTCCTACGTCAACCTGGTGAAACACTCATCCTCCTATGTCTGGTTCATTCCATTGGCTGCAATATTGGTCATAGCATCGGTTTGGATTGGCGTTAGCTTCAGGAGGAAGTATGCTGCAACCAGGAACGGCTCTAAATACCAGAAACTCGAGATGGAGCTTCCAGTTTCTTCGGGAGTCAGCAAATCATCAGCTCCTCCTCCAAGTTCCAACGACGGATGGGAGGACAACTGGGATGATGGCTGGGATGATGATGATGAAGAGGTGGCGATGCCAGCATCATCTCCGGTAACTTCAAGCTTGTCATCCAATGGGATTGCCCCAAGAAGGATTGTCAAAGATGGCTGGAAGGACTAGGTCTATTGCAGATGAAGTGAATACCGAATACTTTTGTTTTCCCTTCTTCCTCTTTTTATTTTTTGTTTCATCATCTCTCTCTTATATATCTTTTTTTTTCCCCTCTGTCGAGAGGGTTTTTTAGTTTTAATGAGTACTAGTGTGCACAACAATTTTTCCTCGTAAAGAATAGCAGTAGATATTAGTATTATGAAGGGACGATTGTTTTTGCTCAATTTTGTCACCAATTTTATGGTTATGTTTGAATCTTACCATGAACAGTTTAAGACTAACTCACAATACTACTTTAACCCTTTTGAATTGGGATTTTGATCGTGATATGTTTACAGACATTGCATTTTTTCTCCATTCTATTTGTGAAGAAAAGTTTGAATACTCTGAACATGTTTGCGGAATTCACAGTTTGCAAGAAGCATAACCAGTAGACACTGGTGGCTACTTGTGTGCTCCTACATGATCGTCTGATGTTGCATACACAAGTTCATAGAGAATAGAATTTCGTAGGGTAAGTACAAATTTTCCCTTCTATTTGGGCTTGAATTGATTTTTGAGACTCCATGTGGGCTTTAGCCCTGGGAAATTTACTCATACATATAGATGTCGGGCCCTCAGGTCTGCAGAATTTTGCTCTATGGGGTGAGGGACCCCTTTTAGTTAAGCAACACAATCTTGTTGTATTTCGTAAAGAAAAAATCTTTCGTCCTAAAAAATAATTCATTAATCGTATTATAAATTGTAGATTGTAATAATAAATATACATAAATTGCTTATGTAATAAATACAATTTTCAAGTTAAGCATAATTTACAATTTACAGTATGAATTTTTTTGAGACAGAATAAGTACTGTTGATTTAAGTATACTGCAAATTTTAACTTCTGAACAGTCTCCTCATAGAGAGAAAATATTGGGTGCACCGGCTGCACCAACTCAACATTGATGATCTGGTGCACCCAACCAATTATAGAAGGACATGTGTATTTTTTTTTTTCTCTCTTTCACCCAGTTTTATTTTTTTTCTCTTTCCTTTTTCTTTTTTATTTCCATCGGTCTATCTCTTTTCTCTGTCCTCCTATTTGACCAAAAATTATCCAAATTGCAATTCATGCCAATTCGTCGACGATTGCCGCCGGAAGAAGGGTGGCGATCAATCTAGAAAGAAGCAGGGAAACAACATCTAATAATTTATTTTCCATGGTCAATCATCTCTTCCATTATTCCGTTGCTCATTTAGGAGTTTGTACATCCTACAGTCTTGGCAATTAATCAGAGGATAGGCTCTGACTTATAGCATATTCAGGAGCCGATCTGGACGAGCAAGGGAATATGGAGTACTTGTTGAGTTTAGGGTTTTGCATAATGGGTTCTTCATCTGAGTTTTCGAATTCCGTTCCCAATTCTTCGGCGTTACCGAGTCCAAATGACCAATTAGAACAACGCAATCCGAAAAAGGCTTAAGAACATTGACCATCAAAATTAATTTTGGGGAATTATTTACCGGCTTCTTGGAATTATTCACCCGCTTCTGTCTCCATTGATAGCCATTGCAGCTCCTCTTCCGGCGGCTATCGTACGAGAGAATGGCTTGAATTGTGGGAGATAATCTGATTTGGATTTAATCTGAGATAGCAAGAAATTAAGAAAAAGAAAGAGGAAAAAAACGGGTGAATGGGAGAAAAATACACGGGTCCTTTTAATATTGGTTTGGTGCACCACATCATCAATGTTGAGCTAGTGCAGTCGGTGCACCCAATATTTTCTACCTAATAGAACTACAAAATGTTAAGGAGCAATGAGGTGTCTTAATTGCTAGACAATGCTCAAGTAATCTCCATTCACTAATAAACTCATTATATTCATTCATTTATAATAAACGATTTCAGAATCCACTTTTGATTTATAACTGGATTATATAATTTAGGTTTCCTATGTCTTTCAAAACTTTGTCTACTGCTCCCCCCAAAGTATTGCTGATTAAAAGATTTTTCCTAAAAAATTCTCCCTCCATTCACGAGTAAACTCATTATATTCATTCAATTTTGAATCAGTTGCTAGAAAATTTCCTCTCTCTTCGTTTCTCTCGGTGCACGATAGCACAGTTATGCTAGCGTACACCAGCAATGGCGAAAGGGAAGGGGGAGGAGGAAAAAGGTATCACAAACAAAGAATTAGAAACGGTAATTGATGGGAAAACAAACTCACCAAAGAATTTTACCAGAAAAGAAGCAGAGAAGATGGATCTGGAAGTTAGGGCAAGTTCATCAGGGCTAAAGAAGGGTTTATCAGAATCGAAGATTGCTGGAATTCAAATGGAAAAAAAGAAGAATAGGACGGAACAGACAAAAACCCTCAGTGAATTATTGGGGATACAAACTGCAAGAAGGTTGGATTGGTCTGAGGCCAAAGAGGAGAAAGTGAAGGAGCCATCGGTTTGGGAAAAATATGATGCCAAATGCTTTCGAAATGCTGTTATACCTCTCGATTATGTCGAACCAGTGGAAAGGGATGGGATGAAGGTAGCTAGGGTGTGAGAACGAGATCTGTCTCCTGAGATTGAGTACTGGAAATCGTCAATCATAAGCTTTGTACTAGGAGCCAACCCTATGAGATGTTGATGATGAAGCAGGGATTAACAGTAGAGAACAATTGCAGCTTAAGAAGTCTAATCAGGAGCAGAAAGATGATGAAGTTATGAGGGGTTCACCACATGACCCAGGTATCCATGTATAATTTACTTCATTGGAATATTAGGGGCCTAAAGAGCCTAATAGATAGAAGGTGTTACTTAAAATGAGTAAATTATATGACACTAATATAGTAATTATAGTAGAAACTAAGATGATCTGTTGTACTTTGGTAGAAATGATGAAGAAGTATTGGTAGGGTTATGAATATCAGGTTAATTATCTATATTGTAATAGAGGGAGAATATGTATTATTTGGAATCCTAGTGTATTTAAATTACAGGTGTTGAATCAACGAGGCCAATTTGTGCACTGTTGGGTGGAAGATGTGACCAGAGAGGTGGCCTTTTACTGTATGGCAATCTATGGTTCTAACCAGCTGAGTGAAAGAGAAATCCTATGGGAGGAGTTGATTAATATCTCAAATAGCATATCCAAACTTTAGATTGTTATGGGGGACTTTAATAACGTCCCGGCAGTAGGAGAAAGACTAGGAGGCAACAGTGTTAGTTTGGCTAAAATTCAGGGTTTTCAATGTTCTGTAGGGGATTGTGAATTGCAGGACCTCAAACATCAGAGCTATAAATTTACATGGAACAACAAACAAATAGGTGCTGGAAGAGTATGGTCTTGTATAGACAGAGCACTGGTGAATGAGCAATGGGTGATGACATTTCCAAACTCACATGGTACCATACTAGTTGTTGGAATCTCTGATCACTCGCCAATTTTCGTGAAATTGGATGAAGGAAGAAGGAAAACACCACCAGCCTTCAAATTTTTAACATGTGGTGCCAGCATCAGAATTTCATTAAGGTGGTGGAAGAGAATTGGAGAACAGAAGATAAAGGAACCAATATGTATGACATGGTTAAGAAGTTGAAAAGCTTGAAGGCAGGTCTGACAACCCTTAACAAAAGCAGTTTTGCAGACATACAACTTCAGACAGATCAAGCCAGGGAGGAACTGAAATTAGCACAAGAAGCATTAAACTCTAATGAAGGTAATGAAGAACTGCAAGCCCAAGAGAGACAGTCATACCAGAAGTTTATACAGGTTAACAAAGCCTGTGAAAGCTTCTTTGCTCAAAAGGCGAAAGAAATATGGGTCAAGCAATGAGATTCCAACAGTGCATTTTTTCATGCCAGGTTGAAGATCAGAACAATGAAGAACAAGATTTGCTCAATCATGAATGAAGAGGGGGACTTAGTTACTGATTGGGAAACAGTCAAAAGGCACTTCATTGATTATTTCCAACAGCAGCTAGGTCAAAATAGCAGCAGGCAGTCAGCTGAATTGTCAGTTCTTAAAAAGAGGCCAGTACTCAATTGGCAGCAACAGATTGATTTGCTTAAGCCTGTCCAACCAAAGGAAATTAAGGAACCTGTATGGGGAATTCACAGTGGTAAAAGTCCAGGCCATGACGGATACGGGAGTGGCTTTTATAAAGGGGCCCCGAAGGTGATACAGAAGGATATGGTGGAGGCAGTGTTAGAGTTTTTTAACTCTGGAAAACTACTGAAGCAGGTGAATGCTACCATGCTGTCACTCATCCCTAAGAATGATAAACCCCACAATGCAGGAGAATTTCGGCCTATATCCTGCTGTAACGTATTATACAAGGTAATATCTAAGATTTGGTTTTGGTTGATGAAAACCAAAGTGCCTTTGTTAGTAAAAGGTTGATTTTACACAACATTTTACTAACATAGGAACTGGTTAGGTTTTATGGGAGAAGTAATATCAGTGGAAGATGTATGATGAAGATTGATTTGCAAAAGGCGTACGATTCGGTGGATTGGAGTTTTATTGCAAACATGCTAATTGGTTACCAATTCCCTGAGTCCTTTTCTAATCTAATCATGGAATGTGTTACAACTACATCATTTTCAGTTGACTTAAATGGTGAAAGTTGTGGTTTTTTTCCAGGAAAGCATGGTTTGAGGCAAGGTGACCCACTGTCACCACTTTTATTCGTGCTGATAATAGAGTACCTGTCTAGGTTGATGAAGGATGCAGCAGAAGATAACCAGTTTAAGTATCATCCTCAGTGCAAAAATCCGAAAATAATAAATATTTGCTTTGCAGATGATCTTATGATCTTCTGCAAAGCAGATAGGTATACAGTTAAGAAGATTGTGGAGGTTTTAGCTAAGTTCTCAGCAACTACAGGGCTGATGACCAATCCTGCAAAATCAGAGATCTTCTTTGGAGGTGTAGAGGAGACAATAAAGAAGGAACTCTGCGAACTAACAGGATTCAAGAAAGGAAAATTTCCAGTCAAGTATTTAGGTGTGCCACTGTCTCCAAGAAAGTGGACACAACTAGAATGTGATATTCTAATACAGAAAATGGCAGCCAGGGTTAAGTGTTGGAGTTCAAAACATTTGAGTTATGCTGGCAGATTGCAGTTGATCAACAATGCATTAATGTCTATGAAGAACTTTTGGGATCAAGCTTTTATGCTTTCACAAGATGTGACCACTCAGATTAATAGAATTTGTCGTACTTTTCTGTGGGGGAGACAAGAATATGAAAGAGGATTATCCTTGGTTAGCTGGGAAAAGATTTGCAGGCCTAAAAATGAGGGGGGACTCAGTATAAGGGATGCAAAAACATGGAATGAAAAGGCTTTGATGAAACAAGTATGGCAACTTGCA